AGAAAAATCTAACGAACAGTCTATTATGATCTTCCTATCTGAAATTAAAAAAATAAATAAGCAGCAAGAGTTTTAGCATTAGCTTATTTAGCTTTAAAACTGCAACCAATGCATTGCTATTATACCTCAGTCTTATATTTAATGCCTTTTGAATGTTTTTTTTCCTACCAGAGAGGCTTGAATCATTGATTATTTTAATTTTTTACTTTATTTTTAAACTGTACTTTCACTATATTTCCTAATAAATCACATTTTTCTGATGCAAATGAGCTGACAATGCTGTCTCTTTGAATAAGCAGCCACCTCTCTCTCTCTCTCTCTCTCTCTCTCTCTCTCTCTCTCTCTCACCCGATTGAAAACAGGCAGCATCATATAAAGCTTCTCCTCCTGCTCTTTCTGTGTCATGTGGCGCGGCGGGTGGCAGAGCTCAGAGAAGAGGCGGCGCAGGTGCATCAGTCCCAGCGCGTTGTCCTGTGGGCTGCACTCCTCCTGCCGTGGCCTTCCCATGATCCTCTTCACCATATTCATCTTTAGAGGCTTCTTGAGGCCGAAGCCAGCCCTGAATCAGACACAAAAGAGAGGTTTTGTCATTGAAAATGGAAAAAAGGGAGGATAGAAGGGTGGAAAAATATCGAGATGTCAGGGAAATTGACTGTGGACTGTGAAAGTCCACTTTTAATGTGATGTGATATGCTAGCTTCCAATTGCAGATCAAATTCAGCCTATTTTATTTATTTTTGCAGTGAGCTGCTTCTGTCTGATCATCACTGTTCCTCTAGTTATAATTCTGCTGCAGGCACAGATATACCTGGATCCAAGATATTGTTTGTGTTCATTTCAAGGACATGCTGGAATGATAAAGGCTCTTCTATAAACTTGATTTATAGATTTCAACAAAAGGCCGTCAAATTATTATTAATAAGCTACTTGTGCAACTATTCTCATTTGTGTTGTCTGTTGCATTTCAGACCATTTCTACTATTTATTTTCAGTTGATTGATGCATGAAAATAGGAAACAAACTTTCTTTCTTTGTTTTTCCTACTATGGAATGTAATGGTTACAGTTTTTAAGCTTTCTTCAAAATACCTTCTTTTGTGTTTAACAGAATAAAGAAACTCTAAGGTTTACAACCACTTGAGGGTGACTAAACAGTAAGGCCCAATCCCAGAGTGTGGTCAAGTGTGGTCCTGAAAAATCTTCGTTCGAAGGGCTATTCACCCCTTCCCCTTCCCCTTAGCCCTAAGCCTTCAAGCTAAAGAGAATTGGGACGCCTCTACCCATTGGCGGGCACGCGCAAAACGAGGGGTAGGGGTAAGGGGAAGGGCTGAGGGGTAGAATTGGGATTGGGCCTAAGTACATTTTCATTTTTCAGTGAACCAAGCCTGCAAACTAAAATTATCCATACAGTATAAACAGCTAAAGTCAGAATTATTAGCCCCTCTGTTTACATTAAAATATTTGTTTACAAAGATGCCAAAAATGGGCTGTTTAAAATATTATTTACAACATATATAATCTAGCTATTTTATTTACAAGAGAGACTGCTTATTTTCACATTTTAATATAAAAACACTGAAAATAAATAATTTTGTTTCCAAAAGTTCAAGTTATTTATTTTCACTTTTATAATAAAACCGACTGTTCGGTTTTTAGGCAATGTGTGTTTTAATTAAAAAAAAATGTTGATGTTCAATAAATAATTATAAGCTATGTTTCCATCCAAACATGCAAATTAACTTTATTTGCACATCTTTTATGTGATATTTCAGTTTTGCACATAAAGCAGCATTTCCATTCACGAGTCAAAGCGAATAAAATGGTCACTTCCTGCCCAACTGGCGCCAAATACCGACAGTAAAAATGGAATTTGCAGCGGTAGGAGAAGCTGAGTGAATCTTTTCTTCATTTAATAAATGACTCCTCAGAAGACAATCCAAACACGTAGTAAATGCGTGGTGTCGTTTGAAGGCATGGGACATGGAGCACAGACGGTCTTGATTCTGGAGGTCATTAATATTATAATAACACTACTGAGATGGTTAAGAGTTTTAGAATGAGAAAAACAACATTTTAGATGTTTTACAATGAGCTCAGCTTGCTGGTTTGTCCATTTACACATTTTTATCATCACATGATCTCAAAATCACAGTCTTTTTTTAATGTGCATACTGGAATTTGTTCGGTAAAAGTGTTTCCATCGTAGTTTATATGCATCTTTTCTTATCGAATAAATATGTTTATCCTACTTAGATAAGCGCATATTTGTTATATGCTCATTTTCTAAATTCATGCACATCTTGGTGTTTCCATCAACCGTTTTTTAATGCACATGTCCAAAATGTGAATAAAAAAGTGGATGAAACGTAGCTATAGATAGTAGATAATGTGTTTCCTTCAATTAATTTAAAATAAAGTAATACACCTTTCAGTCAGAAATCTCTCACTTGTAATATGTGAACATATTTACTGTACAAAACTTGTCAGAGAACAATGAGGGCAAAAAATAAATAAATAAAATAATCCTTCATTAATCGTAATAGAGTCAAAATGTTCAATTAATGGAGATTTTTATTTTAGGCCAAATTGCCCAGCCCAAGAACAGTGTGTTAAAGATTGAAACTATAATAGGGCATATGCCGAAGCATGCTAATAGGACTTTTAATTTGCCAGTAACCTGGGTTTAGCTCTTCCGGTGAACTGTATGCCAATGCAAAAATTGGCGCATTTAAGGTCAGTTTTCTTTAAAAATCAGCGACCTCCACTGGCTGAGTGATATCCGATATAAAGTGGGTCTCAGATTGCTCAAGAAGCACTACATTAAATTGCATTTCCTCGCCACGTCTTTATAATATGAGCATTTATTTTATCCCAGTATATTCAATGGAGCTTCTGCGCTAGCCTGCCGATTCTGACGGGCGAGTGCGAGTAAAAGGCCTTTTGTCTCGTTTTACACTTGAACAACTAAGTGAATGCCAAAGTCTGTTTAACTAAATGTATTTTAATTACATTACAACATCGATGCTGTAAAAGGAACCGTATAAAACGGAAAAAAAATTACAAAAACAGGTCACCGGAAGTTTATCAGTATGGGAACAACACTAGCTCGGCATCTTCCCCCTTTTTTTCCTACATTCTTTAGTGCAAAGGTTCATTTAATACTTAATATGACAGAATGAAAGCTCCAGCAAACCTGTAAGCTTACACAACCAAATTCATGCTGTCTGGATAACAAATTCATTTCAAAGCATAATCCTCAAATTCTTTTCAAGCGTCTTTAAGATTTTTTTGCATGAGAAAAGTGATGCTAACGTGCTACACTGAATAATCAATGAAATCCTTATAACCCCTAATGTCTTCAAAGTAAACCTTCACATAACCCACTTTTATGTTTCAGATGCATCAGCAACACTAGTTTTTAGCATAATCTGCAAGAATTTTAGTTAGAATCAGATGTGTATTATCCTGCCCTACAGACCTTTAATGAGCTGCAAACTTTCAAAATATGCACTAAATCATATCCATATGCAGTAACAAACTCACAAAGATGCGTACTAAAACATACACAATAAAGTCTTCCTTAAAATATGACATAAAGGAAAAGGAAAACATGACCTAAATAAAACTAAATATGCAAAAAAGCACACTTCACATCCATCTTGAATGAGCTTTAGTTGACAGTGTAGACAAAACAGTGAATGTGTCGTTAAATGTGCCAGGGGGAGCCAAACAAGCAAACAAATTTATCACTTTTTTGCCAGAAATAGGTTACACAGGAGACCCACAGACAGCTGGTAGACTTTATAAAAATGTGCCAACTGTTTTCTTTAACTTTATCGCTCCTATTGACAAGATAGTTCATCAATTAAACGATGACACTTTCCTTTTGTTGATGAGTTTTTTTAGGCAATCTGTGTTTTGGTGTATTGCAGTAGGGGAAGCCCTAGTGCATGTCCTGATTGAGTTTCAGGATTTCTAAGTCTCCCAGGTATGAAATACAAAGGTGACCAGAGTAAGTGTAGATTAGAACACATGTAAAAATGTAAAAATTATCAGAGCTCGCCAAAGCAAAATTATCTGTCACTGTCAACCTTGACAAAATAATATGTATTTCACACCCACACAAACTATGTATAAAATACAAAATATGTATTATACATTTATACACACACACACACACACACACACACACACACACACACACACACACACACACACACACACACACACATACACACACACACACACACACACACACACACACACACACACACACACACACACACACACACACACAGGGTTTTTAGTTAGTTAATAAATATTAACTAAATATTATATAAATGCTTCAGTATACTAACTGACAGTTATTATTGAGCAGGTATTTCTGCTGTTTTGCTATATTTTGTGAACAAAAACACAAAACAAAAAACAAAATAAAACATGAATTTATTACTGGAGATAAAAACCTCTAGGGCTCAATGGTGCACTTTTTAAGACTTGTCGCCACCAACTGGTGTTTTTTTTTTTTTCATATTCATGTCTGATTTCATAAGTATTCACAGTGCGCACACTGAAATGATTGCACAGAAATCTCTACATACCATTTGTCTGTCTCAAATTGAGTAGAATACTGCGTCTATTAGACAGGTTTATTCAGTTTAATAAATAACTTCTGTAATTTATTGTGCTTAATTTTTCAACTTTTTACCAATATGGCTTTTCATAGAATGTGACACTAGTGTAAATAAACAGATGAGCTATCATGTATACAAAGGTGCAGCATACGTTTGACACCAAGTGGTTGAACTAGGTATTGCACTCCTGGTTTAAAACACACAAGCGCAGGTTGCCAGAGTGTGACTGACTATCGAACCTTAAAGGGTCACGAAACACCAAAACACATTTTTTGAGCTATTGACAGTCGTATATGTGTCCCACACTGCTAAAAACACTATTAGGACACCTATATTTCACTAAAAAGTGTAAATTGGTTGTTTTTGCGTTATTTCAAGCAAATTCGTACTTCCTGTTTGAAACGAATTTTTGAAGCTGCGTCACGGTCATGACATAATAGCGTGTATTCCAGCGTGCAGACTGGACGTCTGTGCCAGAGTGTGTCTTATTACGTCTTACAGTGTGATGCATTAATGCATGAGTAAGCCTTGGTTCAAACCAATCAGCGCGCTCTATTGTGCAACTTCATTAATATTCATTAGTGTCACCGTCTTTACACCACAGAGACGCCACGTTGTGTTGGCAAAACAAGCGTGAAGTGTTGCTTTTAAATTTTGCTGCAGTTAAGTTTCGTTTTCATTTTCTCTCTGTGAGAGCTCAGACTCACGTGTGGATTAACAGTGTACGCGACGCGCGACAACAATAACTTACGTGTCTAAGGGGGATTATTGTTTACCTGAGAGCTGTTCTCATCTGCAAACGCTGAGATCCGGATTCCGGATGTAGTCTTCTCTTCAGACGCGGCTCTAGTTGCTGGTGATTGTTCTGTCTCTACAGATTTGGTAAGTGAGCGACCAGTGCTCTTTGTTTATTCAGTTTGTTCGTA